TCCATATTAATCATCTCCCACTTCCATTCTGGAAGTTCTATATTCTGCGCCAAACCACCAGGTCTTTGGTGTTCAACTTTCACTTGCTGGCAATTCGGAAATTTGGCAACAACCTCTGCAATATTCTTCTTCATACCATTCCACCAATATACCTCTCTCAAATCACGGTACCTTTTGGTGGAACCCAGATGGATAGAATATCTGGAGCTATGAGCTTCCTGCATGATCCTCTATTGGAGTTCATCCACCATTGGTACGCACAATCTACCTTGGTATTTTAACACACCATCTCCCCCTTGTTCGAAATCTAATACTCTCTGCTTTTGAACATTTGCCTTCAAGTAAAGCAAAAAGGGGTCTTGGTCCTACGTTTCCTTCACCTTTGACACTAGTGATGATTCAACCCCGTTCGTCACCACTATTCCTCCTTCTGTGGAATCCATAAGTCTGACTCCCAAGCGTGCAAGTCTGTGCACATCTTTGGCTAACTCCTTTTTCTCTTCCTCAACGTAGGTGGTACTACCCATAGATAACCTGCTTAAAGCATCAGCAACCACATTAGCCTTACCTGGGTGGTAGAGAATACTCATGTCATAATCCTTGAGCAACTCTAACCACCTCTTTTGTCTGTGATTGAGTTCTTTCTGAGTGAACAAATATTGTAAGCTCTTGTGATCAGTTAATACATCAACATGAACACCATACAAGTAGTGACGCCAAATCTTCAAAGCGAAGACTTTCGCAACCAACTCTAAGTCATGGGTTGGATAGTTCTTCTCATGAACCTTTAACTGTTTGGAGGCATAAGCTATCACCTTGCCATTCTGCATTAGGACACAACCCAAGCCAACTCTAGATGCATCACAATACACCACAAAACTGTGAGTACCTTCTGGTAATGTCAACACTAGGGCAGTAGTCAACCTCTTCTTCAATCCTGAATTTTTTCTCACAAGCTTCAGACCATTGAAACTTCACTGTTTTCTGGGTCAACTTCGTCAAAGGAGACGAAATGGATGAGAAACCCTCTACAAATACTTCTGTAGTAGCCAGCTAAACCCAAGAAACTCCTAATATCAGTTGGAGATGTGGGTCTAGGCCAATTCTGCACTTCTTTAATTTTCTAAGTATCAACTTTAATTCCCTCTCCAGACACAAATGGCCTAAGAATGCCACAGACACAAGACAAAACTCACACTTAGAGAACTTGGCATAAACTCCTTATCTTTCAAAGTCTGAAGAACTATTCTGAGACGACTAGCATGATCTTCTTCATTCCTTGAATAGATTAGTATGTCATCAATGAAGACGATAACAAACATATCTAAATAAGGTTTGAAGACTCTATTCATAAGGTCCATGAACGTTGTTGGTGCATTAGTTAAACGCAACGACATGACCAAAAACTCATAATAACCATAACGGGTCCTAAATGCTGTCTTTGGAATGTCACATTCCCTTACTTTCAACTGATGGTAACCTGAGAGGTCTATCTTAGAAAAACAAGAAGCACCTTAAAGCTGATCGAAAAGATCATCAATCCTTGGAAGGGGATACTTATTCTTGATGGTAACCTTGTTCAATTGACGGTAATCTATACATATCCTAAGGGAACCATCTTTCTTTCTCACAAACAAGACCGGAGCGCCCCAAGGTGAGACACTTGGTCGAATAAAGCCCTTATCTAAAAGATCTTTCAAATGCTCTTTCAACTCAGCTGGTGCCATTCTGTATGGCAGAATAGATATAGGACGAGTATCTGGAATAAGATCTATATCGAAGTCTATCTCTCTCTCAGGAGGGACTTCGGGAAGATCATCTAGAAAGACTTCTAGAAACTCTTCTACTACTGGAACTCACTGAATAGGAGGTTGAGTCATTAACTCGGACTAAGTGATAGACACACCC